GGAGAGTTACAACCACTAGATATTCTTGTTTGGAAATGGGAACATATCACTATGGATTTTTTAACAAGGTTGCTAAGAACAAAAAAGGGTTTTGATGCTATATGGGTCATTGTTGATCAATTGATCAAAACAGTGTGTTTTCTGCCAATCAAGGAAACACAGACATTGGAGATGTTAGCCAAAACGTACATAGATGAAATTGTTTCAAGACATGGCGTACCAATAACGATTGTATCATATCGAGATCATCATTTTATCTCAAATTTTTGGAAAAGCTTCCTAAAGCAGTTGGGTTCACAAATTAGGATGAGTAGGCATATCATCCCCAAACTGATGGTCAGAGTGGAACGACAATTCAGACCTTAAAAGATATGTTACGAGCATGTTCAATCGACTTAAAAGGTCGTTGGGATAACCATTTACCCCTTATTGAGTTCTATTATAACAATAGTTACCATAACAATATCAAAGCAGCACTGTATGAAGTTCTATGCAGAAGAAAATGCAGAAGACTTGTTTGTTGGATGGAGGTTGGTGAGAAGCAGTTAGTCGGACCTGAAATTATACAACAAACGGCCGACAAGGTAACTCAAATAAGAGAGACTCAAAGTCGCACGAGATAGGCAGAAAAACTATGCCTACAAAAGAAGGAAGCCTATTGAATTCGAAGTTGGTGGCAAGGTGTTATTAAAAGTTTCACCATGGAAAGGGGTCGTACGTTTTGGCCAAAAGGGTAAGCTGCGACCACAAGATATTGGACCATATAAAATAATTGAAAAGATAGGAGTAGTAGCATATCAACTTGAATTGTCAGAAGAACCGAGTCCAATTCAAAGAAATGCTTTGCTAAAGAAGACGTGTTTTCGGTTGAAGAAATCTCAGTTAATGACACTCATTTTCGTAGAAAAGCCCATAGCCGTCAAGGAACATAAAGTTAAGAAGCTTCGATAGAAGGAGGTACCATTAGTATTAGTTCAATAGGACTGTCCCCATGGATCACAAACAACGTGGGAAATCGAATCAGAAATGAGAAATAAGTACCCACATCTCTTTGAGTAAAATTTTGAGGATGAAATTCTTGTAAGAAATGGAGAATTGTAACACCCTACTTTTATATTAAGTTAAATTTTTATGTTTTAAGCCTTGAATACGAGGGTTGTGTTTTAATTATAGTATGGAAAAGATTCCAGCAGCTGTAGCATCCTTAGATCATCATATTATCAATGACAAGTAGCTTACGATGGCAATGCATGAGAAATCAAAGCTACATGGATGACAAGCCTAATAAAGCATGATAAAACAAGCTAAGTGATGACAAATCAAAGCTAGAAGCATGACAAGGCAAGCTAGAAGCACGACATGTCAAGATTCTCTTATCCAAAAATATGAGGTGTTAAAATCTCATACGAGTGCAATCTTGAAAGTAAGAAGAACAAGTACTTGATGCCTTATGTTTAACTATAAATAGAGGAAGAAGTGAGGCCATTAGGTTAATACCAAAATCACTCTCTCTCTCTCACTCTTATTACACTACTAAGCTTGAACTAAGATATCAAAGGCAAGCTACGCATAATCAAGGTGAGTACGTTGTGAGATTTATTGAGATACATATATGCTATATAAATGTATTTTATGCATTATGAAGAAATTGATAAGATGATTTTGCATATTTGCTTTACATGAAATGATGATACGTTTATATAGCCAAGATATATGTATGATGTGTTTTACATATAAGGCATGAAAGTTTTATGTATGGCCATAAATATCCAACGTACGAGATATAGAATGAAGGGAAATCTTGCAAACGGACCTTATGGGACAACCTTATGGACCCCGGGATTAGCAAACCTCAAGGCAAGTATGATTTACTTACATGTGACAAGTGAGATCTCAAAAGAAGGTTTTATGCATGACAAGTGTTTTCTTGACTTATTATTCATGTATTTTGAAAATTATTTACTCATGAAACCATAACTACTCACCAAGCTTAAAGCTTATGTATTCCATGTATGTGTCTCAGGAATGGGGTAGGGACCTTATGAATTAGTTACTATTTTAACAGAATTCTGATGCATTATAAGGTGTTGAGATAGTATTTTATGTATTTTCCGCTTATGAAGTTTTCGGCTTATGTTTTAACTCTGATGTAATATTAAGATATGAAAGAAATAAAGTTAAAATTTAGTTTCTCCCATAAGATTCGTGTAAAGAATGTAACTGCACCCATTTTAGAATTTGGGGCGTCAGAGATAGTTCCAAAGAAATTCCTGAAATATTTTCAGTAAAATCAATGGGAAACGCAATAGGAACCTCAGCCCTTGACAACCAACTTTGAAGCGATGACTGGCCCAACGAGGATAACGAAGTCCCCTGTAAACAGACTTCGTGACCTTGATACTAAAAACACATTGACTGGGTTTCCCAACTATGCACGAAATCATCGAAGGTTTGCGGTCATTCAATTCCTAACACCATATCCAAGCTCCCCATATCAAAAACCAAAGCATCCACGACAAATTTACAGATTCCCAAGGTAATTGGTAGTGCTGAACATTTTTTAGAAACTAAAACTTGGTGTCCGTCACCCAATTTAATTTGCAAGCCTGAGATAGAAGAAACCGAAAGATCCAATGCTTTGGTTAATTGACAAGAAACACAATTCATGTGTGGCACCGCTATCCACCAACACGATAATTGGAAATCCACTTAGAAGTCCCTCCAATTTAACCGTATTCAATTCTGGTTTTGAAGTATGCTAACAAAAACTCAATCACAACGCACTATCCAGTTTCAACGTGCTTATCACTCGAGGTCTCTTCGACTCGGCTCAGTTCCGACGAACGGAGATCACCATCATAATTTGATTCTTCATCATCAACCAACAAAATTACCGCGAAATTGCCCTCCGGACACTTATGTGAAGGTCCAAATTGCTGACCACACAACCTTCTTGCGATGATCTTCCCACTATGAACGTGTCAATGTGCTGGAACCATGATTTCTAGTGGAAGAATTCTGTGTAGGCTCGCTTCCTATCAGAGCCCCAACCATTGACTGTGATGACACCCTAGATGGCATCTGCAACGTAAGTTTACGATCTGGGCCGAAATTAGAATCCTGTGCCTTGAACCCATGTTGGGGTGATTGGATGGACGGAAACCCAATGGGGTTTTTATCCCAAACTTGGTTATGTCCCTGGTATTAGTATCTTGCTTTCAACATAACGTTCTCAGATGGATGCAACATTCTTCTACATCTTTTGCCAAGTACATGCATCCAATTGAGTCCTAGGGATGATGAAGTCGAACCCACCTCTTCACCTTGGGTTGTAACCCCGCCAAAAAGTACCCAAGAGATTGAGATTCGGGTAAACGAGGGATGAGTGACAATAAATACTCAAAATCGTCTAAGTAATCATGAATGGAATTTAATTGTTTGATTGTAGACAACTGTTCATAGGGATTTTGGATCTCCAGATCCTTGAATCTTTGTAGCATTTCTCGGGTTAACTGCTCCCATGTCAGATATTTAGGATGTCCTTCACAACAGCAAACCGATGTTTAGCGACTCCAGACATCCTAATTTGGGCTAGACGAGTCTGAAGATGAGCTGGAGTCCGATGGATCTCAAAATAGAGCTCTGCCTTAGCAATCCAGCCCCGAGGATCAAAACCAAAAAACTTTGGAAGTTTAATTTTCTTGGCTGCATAGTGCATATTCTCTCCTGATCTTCCGGAACTATTCATGAACGGAGGTGCACTTCTTGAATTGTTTTTGAACGATGGTGGAGTTTCATCTCCTTCCAGATTTTGTCCTTGTTGATGCTTAACCCACAACATCATATACGTTCTGAATTCCTTCAGTTTGGCCTGATCTTTCTCCATGGTTTTCAAGGCTGATTTGATCTCCTGAACATCAGAGTGAAGTTGTTGAATTCGTTCCTCATGGTTCTCAAGTTGAGCCTGTAAGCGCGTCTCCATATCCGGCAGGTTGGACCAATGCTACGTAATCGATGTGATTGCATAAAGGATTTAATTAATTGGAAAATATTGAAGGATTACAATGGAGTGAAATGGGGAAGATGACACAAAATCCACAGAAGGATCCCAGGGAAAGAATTCCCTCAAAGCATAAAGCTAAGATCCTAACAGAATGGTTATTTCTCTGCATGCCTTCCACACCCCTACGCATCCTTATTTTATAACCACAAAGCTAACTAATTCCCGTTATGGGCCTTGGGTCATTTAACATAGAGTTTCCAAGTAGTGGGCTTAGAAACATTTGGGTCTAATTGAGTGTCTTGGTTTGATATTGTATTAGTAAGCTTTTGACATTTAGAAAGTTTGATTTCATGCTGATTTCCCAACTCACTAATTTTATTTTGAGTTGGTTTCTGGTAAGAATAGTAGTTATCGTGAGAAGGGTAAGAACGGAGCTCCACCTTTGGATCAATCCTAATCGAAGATCAACTGAAAATCCCCTTCTAAGCTAATTCATGGATTATTTTGGGAGTTAATCTGAACCATTAGATCAACACTAATTAAAAGTGATCAAGGGTCCAAATCCCTTCTTACACTTCTCATCTTAACTCCTATTCTCGCAAGATCCTTGGTCTTCTATTTGTTCCTCTATGAAGCGTCGTTCCTTCAGAGGTAGGATAAAATTCTTTCTAATGGTGGGAGAAGGACTTTTAACTATGGTATTAGATCTAGGCTGCCTAGATCTTCAATAGTTCTATCAGATCAAGAGCTTTATCAGACTTAGCTAAAGATTATTCGTAATTTCAGAAAATTATTTATAATTAGGTTACATTAGACAACCTATAACCTGAATGTATGATGAGAACATTGGTTAACCAATAGTTTAAAATCTAAACCTACTAGTAGTTTTACCAAACTTTTGGCTACTCATCATAAAACAAATTTTGTTTTGGTAGAATTCTCCTCTTCCTTCAAAGGCCATTGTGAATTCTTAATATGGTTTCTTGTGATTTTGTAGGTAGGTTACATTGTTATGATGAATTTTTCTACCGGAACCAGAACAAACTTATTGAGAATGAGAGACGCTGAAGTTGTTGGCATATATCATGGTTTAGTTGATGAGACAGTCGTCAAAATTCTGCACAGGTATGCGTTTATAAGTTATTTTGTTAATAGTTTATTATCCTTTTTGGTAACTCAGCATTTTCATGTTACGGGTTGCATTTGTATGGTGTGAAGAGAATTGAAAAGATGTGATTGTGGGTTGTGAAGAAATGTAAATGGAGAATAAGAATCGAAATGGTACAAACAATAACAAAAGCTTTAGCCTATCAGTTAAGGAGGTGGGCGTTTCTTCATTTCTCCACCTGACAAAAAGAAGCTGCCTTGCCACCATTTCTTATGCCCGTTTTTACGTTCTCCATTTACATTTTATGGGTCATGACGATGAGTGTACATGGTTACCTGCACCTACATCTTCTAGAGGGAATGAGGGAAAACTTTCTTTTTCGCACACTTTTTGCGAGCATGAAAACAATCACTCTACTCCCCAAGGTAGATTAGACGTTTGCATACATGTTATCCCTAGAACCCACCTCCAGGTGGGATATACTGGGCTTGTTTGGTTTAAGCACAGGAATTGGCTTATGGTATGTTCATTTTCGTCTATTCCACTTGTGAGTCCAAATTTTACGATAAAATAGAAAAAAGGATATGATATACCCCCAAGTTTGAATCAATATTGTTGACATTATACCCATGCAATTTGATAGGAGGAAGAAGAAGGTTTATGCATGGACTGTTGATGATGAAGAGACGATGCATAAAATATTGAGCGAAAATGTGGATGCTATCATCACCAGTGATCCGACTTTGCTTCAGAGCTCCATGCGAGATATTAGAAAGAAATGCCTTGTTGATGGTTTTTCTCTGGGATCATGATCACTAAACTAGATTGTAGATCTACATCCATTTTTCTTCGTGTATTCCAACCCATAATTTGGTCTCAAAAGGGTAATATTCCTCGTGAAAGCCTATAGATTTTGGTATCTTTGGTTCATTGAAGAGCATACTGGATTAACATTCGTCTCATTTTTGTTGTTTACGGTCATGAATCGAGTTTCGGTTCATTTACGTGTCTGGAATTCAGAATGCTTTTGAGATCATCAGATGTGCACCTTAGTATTTGGATATTAAGCTATCTGATCTCGTTGGCATTTATAAATTAGAGGGGTGGGTCACTACAAAACAGGGTGCTTCTACCGACAGAAAAAACCATCAGCGAGGGGATGACCGGTGTGGAACATTGCCATCGCAAAAGTCTTGCTGGTAATCATTTTTACGGTGGATTAATCACCGGTCGGTCGATCCTGTCCGTCGCTGAGCACGTCAGTGATTTTTTCCCCAATTTAATTAAATTTCTTAATCCATCGTTGATTTATTATTTTAATTAATTAATGAAATGCAATCAACAACAAACTTATCCGCAGCTGATTAAATCAAATTACAGTTGGATTTTTATGTTATGTTTTAAAGTACAATTTGTCCAATATTTTCCGTCGGATTCACCCACTAATCCGTCAGTAATTTTGCGGTATTGAAAAATAATTTTTTTGGTTTTTATTTATTTTACGAGTAAACTTTAAAAATATAAAAACACAAACATAGATCTAATTCTAAATATCATACATTTAATTTAAAACAATGAATTATTCCAATTAAAAATATAAATCAGTAATTAAAATTTATTGTTTGATAGTTGATACACAACCAGCAGCGGAGAGGCCAAGACGTACAGGAAGAGTATCCGTTACTCCAACATGGCAACGAGATTACGTAATGGATAAAGCCTAAA